ACCTTAAACCACATAAACACATTTCATTACACCAAATACACAAAATAATGTTCTTTTTAGCAACATCATATGACCCCTTTAACATAGGTCTCTATTCGTTCATTCATGGCTGTGTGTTGTCTTCAGACCTGTATGTTTTTGTGTGTGTGTTTTTACAGGAATGCTTGGTCAGTGTTTCGACTCTGTTGGTAAATGGAGCGAAACACCGCAAGCGAACAGCTCAGTACACTTGCCTTTCATTCAAACGCATTGAAAAACACACTCCAAACAGAAAAATGGCCCTGGATAGAGCTTAGAGCTCTCTCTGGTGGCAGACCTTATTAACATCTGTTTTTTTTCTAGTTGCTTCCTAAATTATGTATTGAAATTGCTAAATTATTCCATATCTGTAGTGCATTATCCTCTGATTAGAAGGCAGACGAGATTGTGATGATAACAGCAGAGACAACAACTAGATTTGCATTTTCTAAAGGAAATGTCAGTGCTTTCAAGGCAGCAAACGAATAGTGTTGGAGTTTTAAGCTTGGATATGTGTTAAGAAATACTGCATCAGAGCCGTTTGATGTCATCATGGCAATCAGCACACATCTGATTTTCTGCCAGCTATGCATAAAAAATAAACAAGCAATGCAACACTGTTGTGATTATATAGGCACGACAGGAAAGACTAATCTGAATTCCATATGCAAATAGATGTTAGAGAGAAAAACGGTTATGTTATCAATGTCACGGTTACATTTGAAATTCTTATTTCTTAAAACGTAGACAGTATAGATAGCAGACCTAAGGCTGAAATCATATACACAAAAATTACAGTATTTCAAATAAATGTTGTATATTTATAACCTTATATTCAGCAATGAATCCTGAAAAAAGTTTAGCAGTTTCCACAAAAATATTAGGCAGCACAAATGATGATGATAAAAAATGTTTCTTAAGCACCAAATCAGCATATTAGAATGATTTATGAAGGATCATGTGACACTGAAGACTGGAATAATGGCAGCTAAAAACAACTTTATCACCACAGCAATACATTTTAGTATATATTAAAATGGAAACAGTAATGTTTAAATTAAGAAAATATTTAATAATAATGTTTTTACTGTATTTTTGATCAAATAAATGCAGCCTTGGTGAGCATTGTGAATATAACTATGTACATAACAGTTTGGGCTGAAATGATTGCAAGATTTTATAACAAAAAGAAGAAGAACAACAACAAATACAATGTTTGAGGAATTTCAAAGGGATATTACTGTCTTGCAAGCACTGTGATATCTAGAAAAGGAAAGTTTGACAAGACAAACTTCGAAAGATGGCTTGACAAAGCTTTGCCTGAAAGTTAAAAAAAAAAAAAAAGTTTATAAAAGTCTTGAAATTTGATGCTTATACAACGTTAAGCATTTATACTGCAATAAGAATTTGGGATTCAGAAAGTTTCAATGGAAGTATATGCCATTTTTCAGTGTCTTAAATTAAAAAACATAACTCTGATCAGTTAGAACAGATCAGACAGATACTGATTTGAATGACAGAATGACTGATTTAAGTCATTAAAAAAAAAAAAAAAACTAACTCAGGTTTGCAGAATAACAGTATGTTGGTTCCGCTAGGCTATGCAGTTGGTAAAATGTTCTGAATGGTTGCTAGTTTGTTTCTGTGTGTTTGTTAGCTTGTTGTAAGTGCAGGGTGTTCTAATGTGTACATACAGATCTGCTCCTGATCCAGGAGCTTGTCATCTCAAGACTGGACTACTGCAATGCTGTATTGGCCAGCCTTCAAACTAGCTCAATTAAACCTGGCACAAGAATGCCAGTGTATTTGGTCTTTAACCGACCGGTGACGGCCCACGTTTCACCCCTCTCAGTCTTGCTCCACTGACATCCTAATCAAATTAAAATTCAAATCTCTTTTTTCTACTTCTGCAATCGCATTTCTGCTCTAGCTTTTGTTTACTCTTGAAATTCAGTATTGCAGTGCTGCTAATGTCGCTGGCTCCTGTATGATAAATAGCTTGTGTTTTGCCTTATTTGAAAGTCGCTTTGGATAAATGTAAATGTAATTGGTTTAAAGGTCTCAAACTGTGAATGTCTGAACATTAACATTCCATAAACGTAATTTGTGTTTATTATTATGTCAACAATACATCAAACCCAGTATCAGTTAAATTTCTGTGACTTGATGTCAATTACAGTATGCGTATATGGTGCTGTTTTACAGACTCGTGGTCTCAGTATCTCTTTGATCAGATGCTCCACATGTACTTCACATCCTGGTGAGAGACAGACGCTATTTCTGGTTTGTTTGGGGGCCCGGAGCAAGATCTTCCCTGGTGCTGGGTCTTATTCGTTGCTAGTCTAAAGACATGCCTAATTAACGTCAAACAACCGACAAACATCACAGCATTAAGGCAGAACTACCACCTCAACCGCAACTAAAGAAAGAAAAGAAGCAGCACTTCAAACCACTGAGGATAAACATGTTCATACACTGAAATAAACACACTGTTGTTAGGGATTGTAGTTTGTATTTTTAATGCAATTTTTTATTGATTTTTTTTTCACAGAAAATAGCTTGAGATCAAACAATAATTGCCCGATCCCTTAGAGTCTGCAGACCCCCCGCTGAAGACCCTTGCTTTAGAAGTATAGATCTCACTGATCTTGATACTTTGAGAGTGATTAAAAGTAATCTTTAAGAAATTAAATTCAGAGTAAAGGGGAATAACCATTTTTATGTGCTATATGGAGGAAATGGTGTACTGTACATTAATCATTTGTACACCATATAAATACTTTAAAACAGGGCACTTCAACTTTTTTCAAAGAATCACAAGAATCTCAGAATTCAGTTTTTTTTCTGACTCATAAAATTGAGTTTATATCTCAGTTCTGACTTTCTTTCTCTTTCCAAGTTTGCTTGCAATTCTGACTTTTTTTTTATTACCTTTTTTACTTTTTATTTCAAGGCGAGAACAAGCTTCCATATTTAGTGGATAGATAGAGAGAGCAGGAACCTACTGTTACATATTGTATTTAAGTGAGTGTCGCATTTTAATACTGGCTCATAATAATATATTTTAATGCATTCTTTTTTTCACTTTTTTCACAAAAATCTGTGTGCAATCAAACAATAATTGGCATGCTCCGAGGGTTCACAGACCCCTGTTGAAGACCCTTGCTTTTAGAAGAATAGATCTAACTGAATTTAATGCTTTATTAAGGGTGTTTCAAAGAAATCTTAAAGAAATACAATTCAAAGAACTGAGAACAAATTGCATTTTACATATTTTTGTATTGTCAAGAAATAGCTCCCTGATTATGATTCTGCTTTTCAAGCACACTGGTGAGTCTCATTAAACTACAAAACACCATTGTGAGCTTGTCAGCTGCCATTTATTACAGTGAGACCCCCTAGTGGCCAGTGCAGGGAAAGTACCTCTGGCTTCACAAACACAGTTCGGGCCCAACATATTCTTACAGAGGGCAGCAAGACCTGGGCAGAGGAACTATTGGGTCAAAAAAGAAGGAAGTTTGGTATCAATGTGTAATCACAAACCTCCTTTACCCCTGCAGGAAGCATGCTGAACCTGACATGCCGAGCCTTCTTTGGGTACAGTGGGGACATCAGTCCGCTTGTTTACTGGATGAAAGGCGAGAAGTTCATTGAAGACATGGACCAGAGTCGCATTCGAGAGAGTGAAATCAAGTAAGAAGGAACACAGTGGAGGCGAGAGTAAACATGTTGTGACGCAAGCTCAAAACAACCCCCTCCCCAAACAATCTTTAAAAAATAGCCCATGTTCTGAATTAAGGATATCATACTGAAAAACATATGCAAACATTAGTATTGCATGCAAATTACACAGCAGATGTATAATAACAGCTTAGACCATCATGGATGGACAGATGGATTTATTTATTTCCTTTTTTATTTACATACATATTTTATATTTTATCATATAATAAAATATGTAAAAGTATGTAAATAATATATATATATATATATATATATATCATATTTTTAATTATTATGTTTACAAATAGTTTTTTTTTTCAATACAGTATTCCTGTACCATGGCAAATAGCATACTTTGGAGTTGAGTGTAAATACCTTATAGTAAATGAATAAGGTTATCTTTCAGTACCATGATAATATATCAAAGTTCGATGGTATTACTATCACTGTACCACCATAGTGTTGTTGTAATACAAGAAACAGTTGCTTTTAAAACTAGCTTCCACTGTGAAATCGCTTATTCAATACGATAGATAGTGCACGGTAAAGCACACTTTAAATGTTTACTGAGATGTCGACAGTACATTTTCAATTACTGATATCACAAGCTTGTATATGAGCCTATTTATATCTAGCAGGGGTGGTCGCTGTGATGACACACTATTATTAATTCCACTGTCTGAAAGAGAGCTGGATCTGAGCAAGCGCTGAATACATCCTAATAACACAGCGAAATGTATCTCTCACCATGCGCCGAATGCATTTGCATTTACATGCAGTTAAGGAGCAGCAATGTCAGCATCTTTTAAATGAAATTTCAGTTTCAAATGATTCAGCCAGGACAAACAAGAGTGAAAATGCGCTGTTATAATTAAATGAGAGCCCCATTTGTTGAACGCCGACCAAACCCGAAACCTTCCTCCCAAAATTTCTAATCTCTACAAGCTGCTCAGTCTAAAATTTATCCCCCAAATCCTCTATCAAAAGGGGCTAATTAAAAAAACTTTTATTCCACAGCCTTTGGTGAACAATGGCTCATTGTTTTTTTATTCTCTCCGCCAGGACGGTCAGAGAACACCTGGGTGAACAGGAAGTGTCCATTACTCTGACCATAGATTCACTGGAGGAGGTAGATCTGGGTAATTATTCCTGTTATGCGGAAAACGGCAACGGGAGAAGACAAGCCAATGTACAGATTGGGAAACGAGGTAACACATTCAGCCATAACACACATGAACTCAACCGGCTGAGTCATACCAGCTGCTTCTCATTTAAAGGAACAGTTCACACAAACAATTAAAAATCTGTCATTTGTTTGTTTGTATGACTTTCTTTTATGAAAAAAATAGATGTTTTGAAGAATTTTAAGGCTGTTCATTTTTTTCGACAGTGAAAGCGCAGACGGTGATCAGGTGCTGTCAAATAAAAAAATCACCATAAAAAAAAATGAAAGTGCAATCAAATTAGTTCATATAATAGAAATGTATAATACATACAGTGTCTTTATATGATGAACAGATAGCAATATAATTCACTCCCTGACAATCTTTTTTTCCAGTATACATTACCCTGCTCAAACGTTTGTGGTCAGTACAGTTTTTTTATGTTTTTGAAAGTCCTTTATGCTTAGCAAGGCATTTATTTGATTAAAATACTGTAATATTGTGAAATATTATTACGATCTGAAATAACTGTTTTCTATTTAAATATAGTTTAAAATGTCATTTATTCCTGACAAAGCTGAATGTTCCGCAGCCATTACTCCAGTCTTCAGTGTCACATGATCCTTCAGAAGTCATTCTAATATTCCAATTTGCTGCTCAAGAAACATTATTATCAATGTTGAAAATCTTTTGTGATGCTTAATATTTTGACAGCCCCTAGTCACCTACTGTATACTTTTGCTGTATGAAAAAGGCAGCTCAGACATTCTTTAAAGCTGCTACTTTTTTGCCCCACAAAAGTAAGTAAGTCATACAGGTTTGGAACAACATGAGGGTGAGTAAATGATGACAGGATTTTCATTTTTGGGGTAAACTATCCCTTTAGTGTGCTGTGGGGTTTCTTTACATAAACAGCACAGCGTGTTCCTGTGTCTCCCTCCTCTTCTCTGTCTCTTTCTTTCTCTCCTTTCGGGAAATGCATCAGCATCTAAAATTCACTCTCTTTTAGAGAGAGCTGCTTTGAAGGCATCCTATCTTCTCTTTTAATGGCAGTTCAGAGGAGGAGACGGCTTCAGCAGTTCAGACACATTCTCTCCCTCTCAGCCCAACTCAAAACTCATTCAACTGTTCTCACACACACACACATGAATAAACACTCTCTCTCTCTCTCTCTCTCTCTCTCTCTCTCTCTCGCTCTCTCTCTCTCTCTCTCTCTTTCAACTCGTCTTAGCCATGCACACATATTTCTGCAGATAATCTTAAAGCCACATACTCACAAACACACACACACACGCAAACCAAATCTCTCATATGCACCCCCTCTCTCCTTCAGCTCATTGCTGAACTCACAAACACACATGCTTTCACAATCTTTCAGCTTCTCTGAAGCATCTGAGTGTATCTTGCGTGTTTTCCTCCATTAGCTGTAGCGCAGAGGAGCTTTGAACAATATGAACATCATTAGCGCTTAATCATTCTGAAGTCATTTTGCTTTTCTCACCCCTTGTGTATGTCCTTAGCGCAGCATGAATTTCCATGCTGGTCCAGGCTGGTTTGGTGCTGATCTGGCTGGTAGATTTGCTGGTGAAGCTAATTGACAAAGGAAGTCTTGCCAGTTTAGCTAGATGCCAGCACACCTAGCATCCTATGATAGGGATCAGTGACCATGTAGCCAAAAATTAAAATCTAACACGAATTCAGTCTTCCAACTAAAATCACCATGGTTACAAACTAATTAAATAGTATTCTAGGCTTAGAATGTTTCTGTAATAGAATGCATCTGTCGGGTGCTGGAAGTAAAAATCCTATTTGTTTCCTCCAAGAGGGAATTGATTTTGAATAATAACTTATAAACCCTCAAGGACATACCTACTGTGAGCTTCAAGGTTGTTGATTCATAGTGTAATTCAACTTATTTTTTAAATAATCATGTTAAACAGTGTAATTCCTAGTGAAAAAATACATTACCCATGATTCAGAAGAGAAATCTCCACCAATAAGAGAATCTCGACTACCAAAAAGAGCTCCCATTCCCATGAAGCACTGTAAATAACAAAGAGTCAAAGGTAATACTTAAGTAATTGTATGCGTAATATGCATATTTAGCAATAAATGTAAAATATATTGTTTTATATAGTATAAAATAGTTTTATATTTCTCTTTCGTTTTTCGTTTGATTGTCATTCGCAATGCTGCATAGGATTACAGTTCTTCCCTCACAAATGTTGTACAAATGTATGCTATGCTATGTTATTCCAGGAGTGTTATATTTGTAATATGTTCTTTCCCTTTCCATTCTGTTCTTTTGTCTCTCTCAGTGGAGCTGATGTACACCGTGGAGTTGGCTGGTGGACTGGGTGCGATTCTTCTGCTGTTGGCTTTGTTATTGTCTGTGTATAAGTGCTACAGGATCGAGCTGCTGCTCTGCTACAGGCATCACTTTGGTGGGGAGGATACAGACGGAGGTAAACGCCACACACACTCCCCCTACAGGAACTAATGAGCACGACACTGCAGCAACTACATATTTGATTCTAATTTCTACATTATATGGAATTAACTCTTTTTTTCATCAGAAGTATTTCTAAAATATATTGTTAAACATTTCTTTCTTTTCCCCTCAGAAAATAAAGAGTATGATGCGTACCTGTCCTACAGTAAGGTTGAGCTGGATCAGTGGGGTCAGGAATTACAGGAAGAGGAGCGCTTTGCTCTGGAGATTCTCCCTGACGTCCTGGAGAAACATTACGGATACAAACTCTTCATCCCTGACCGAGATCTCATTCCTACCAGCAGTACGTGCCGAATGTGTGTTTTGGGTGAATGTATGTCTGTTAGTGTGTTTGTAAATGTTGTCTTAAATGTTTAAAACATTTTCATTAGCACGTGACCTGTTCACAGAAATGTCATGAATAGTCAGAGAAATGAATTCCTGTGAAGTTTTAGGAGTGTATTCAGAAGCCCACAACAATCACAAAAGAAAGTTATGCAGAGATTTGACAAACAGCACTAAAATTGTACAGAACTAATAAAACACCTTGATCATTCATAATGAAGTGTGACATTTTCAGCTCATAAACATGATAGCAGCACTGGATTTATCTTGCTTCCTAATACTGCAAAGTAATTTTATCATTTGTAATTAAATCTAATTAAACTCCCTCGTCAGCATTAATATGACCAGAAAGCCTTATGTTGACTAGAAAATAGCTTGGTTAAATAAGAAAATAAGTATTTAGTCTTGAGACTTTCTGTAGAACAAAACAATAATTTTAAAAGATTATTAATATTCCAAAATGTGGGCAATAATAATAGTACCATTTTTTTCCATTGCAAGCCATCAGAGCCAGTTTATGTGACACAGTGTGTTTGTTTGCATCATATGTCAGGTGTTTTTGCCCTGTTTGTGTGCTGTGTCTGAAAGCCGAATGTTTATGTCCAGGTATGAGCAGTCAACATTACCAGGATGACACACATCTTCTTAGAGGTACAGCTTTGTTTGAATGCAAAACCACGCGTGCACATGTGTACGGTGCGCACAACACGCATACATTGTGCATGCAGATAGTTCTTCATGAATGACTGTGGTTGTTCTGTCCTAAATGTGCGTTTGTCTTCAGCTGTGCGTTATTTTCAGTTCTCGTGCGACCTGTTATTTTGGTATTACAGTTTCTTTCTTTGTCTGTGCTGTTTATCTCCTGTAGCGTACATAGAGGACGTGTCCCGCTGCGTAGACATGAGTAAACGCCTGATCATCGTGCTGACCCCGAGCTACGTGTTGCGTCGCGGGTGGAGTATATTTGAGCTGGAGTCCCGTCTGCGCAACTCTCTGGTTTCAGGGGACATTAAAGTGATCTTAATCGAGTGTGCCGATCTGCGAGGAGCCATTAACTACCAAGAGGTGGAGGAGTTAAAACAATCCATTAAATGCCTGAGTGTGGTGCACTGGAACGGCCCGCAGAGCAACAAGCCTGGCTCGCGCTTCTGGAAGCAGCTCCGCTACACCATGCCATACCGCCGCCCCCAGCAAACCCTCACCAATCACGCGCTGGACGCCAGCGAACCCGGCCCCTTCGCCGACCTGCAGACCGTCTCGGCCATCTCCATGGCTACGGCCACGTCCGCCGCCTTGGCGCCGGCTCACCCCGAGCTGCGCCCGTCCCTGCGGAGCTCGTACCGCTCGCACTCGCTGGCACGGCAGAAACACTCGCACTACCGCTGCTACGACTACGAGCTGCCCTTCACAGCCGGAGGAACGCTGCCGCCCCAGCACACCTACTGCAACCTGCCCCTCACCCTCATGAATGGCCAGCGGCCCGTCAACAACAAGACCCTGCGCCAGCACAGCCTGGATGAGCACCACGGCAACAACGCCATGCTCCCGCTGCTGCCCAGAGAGACGAGCATCTCCAGCGTCATCTGGTAAACACAGAGAATCCGAAACGCGCACGGTTTGGGCCACCTGGCACACAGGGGACTAAATAAGCTGGCATACAGCACAGGACACGATGAGGTTAGTGGCTTCCTGTGAGCGGAATGATCGTTCTGTCCACGCTAATGGGTCTGAGGATGTGCGTCTTCTTTTGGGCATTGATCCGGTGGCGAGGGACGTTGTAGTGCCGTATCTGTAGGCGTGAACTGAGCATATAAAGTCACACCACATGGAGGTATACAGGGTCTCGTGTAGATGTTAGCGTTATATTTGTAGCACCGCTGTCTTCCTGTCTCCATGTTGGGTTTGATCACGCCATCTATTTTTACTCGTTAACGCTTGATGCTTTTCGTTTTGTCCCTTCCTTATTTTTTAGGTTTGACATGGACTTTTGATTGAGATTTTTTGCTTTTTCTACCTTCTTTTGAAATGGACTGAAATATTCCTCGTTTGATTTTAGCTACTGTCGTTTTTGCTCGGAAGCTACTGCGTTTTGTTCCGTCCGTCTTTCTGTTGTCCGATGTAAGGTATGTATTTATGGTTTTAATTGCAACAATTTCAAGAAGGAAATATATTACAAATTATGCAAAATATACGAAAGCCTAAAGGGATTGACAGAGGTGATCAGAGAGCGGTGCTGTCTTCTTTTACAAGAGGAACAGCACCATTTCTCAAATATTAAGGGGATTTTAAATGATGAGAAATTTATTTTTATATCTGAAGAATGCTGATTCTCTCTAATACCACAGGGTCAATGGGACAATGGGACTGGAGACTCTTATTTGTGAATTTGGGTATTTTATACAGTTTGCTACGTTGTTCTCATCTGTGGAGAAAAGGAAATGTTCTATGTTAACTTCTGAAACAATAATCAACTGCGTATTTTTTATGTTCATAGTCTAGGCCTTTTGATCCACAGGCAGACCTTTTCACCTTCTTTCAAATTTCTAATGTGTTTAACTCTCAGTCTGACGTCTTAACACACTGGTTACATGCTTGTCTTTTTCCCCTCTAGCTGCTGTGTGACTCAGATACATGCTGGCATGTTTCACAGAGGAATACAGGCCTGTATACTCGCATTCTAGTATAGAGTGTCAAATAACTCCGCTTGATAACATACCATATGATTTAATAAATGCCCAAAGTCAACATGTATTTGTTGTATCTTGTCTAGAGGTTTTCCTGATCTAGGGGTTTTCACTTATGGCAACATGTACTGACTCTAAGGGGGAAAAACACAAAGCTAGAATCAGAACCAAGAGGTTTGACAGTAAAAAGAGGTCTAACTGTATAAAAAAAAGAAAAAAAATCAGAAACGATTCCTGTAATTTCTTTTCTCCTATTTTTCTTTGTTCTTTTTTTTTTTTCAAAATTCAGTTGCAAAAAAATTGTTTATAAAAATAATTAGAATTATGTATGAATGTTTACCTCTTGAGTATGCATAAAGACTAGTTGTGTATCCTGATTTGAATATTTACTGTATTATGAACAACAGCTATCACAGAGAGATGTGTGATCTCTCTAGAGGCACAATCATTTTTCTTTTTATATTGTTTCTCACTGTGTACAGTAAAGTCACAAACCACTATAAGCTGGTCGATGAAATTTTG